AGGCCCAGCGTAATCTCTCCCGGAAAGGCCTCCTGGCTTCGCTCATGCTTCGCGGCAACGCTTTTGATGAGGTACCACCAATCACCTAGACTGTCATGCGGGTACACAGTCGTCAATGATGGCCCGTTCGATTCGGTCGAAAGTCCCTATGCACATAATCCAACCTGCCGGACGTAACTCAACATAGCCGTCCTGGACCTGGACATGCTGCATGCATCCAGTGACTCTCGCCGAATTAGTGCGGCGTACAATGCCAGATGTTCTAGGATGGAATAACACGACAAGGGCGTTAATCCAGTCTGGGTTATAAAGACATTGAATGCGGACCGGAAGCTGCGAGGCTACGCTCAAGGCCAAGGCACCCTCCTTCATGTTGTCATTGGGTTTACATTCCCCCGGATCATGCAGATACCTCAGCGAAGGAGGCTCATTCTTATGACCAGCATACAATCAGCACAGTACACTCAACATGCTGGTCGAAAGACCATGCAGCAGGTAGGCATGCTGTTCCCTCATTGTCCCGTGAAGTCAGCATGGCTAATATGAATACCTGCACTTCGCCCAGATACAGCTGCACAGCGTTTTGCATTGCCTGAACAAGCTCTCTTCAGCTGGCATGGTACAGGAGTAGGATTGGGCTCAACTCAGTGAAAGCGAGATAGTTAAGATGATGAAATCCGCAACCAAAAATCATCACGCAACGCGGCTGACCTTGCACTTCATACGAGTGGCGCAAAAAGTTGCGGAAGGTACAACAGGAGGAATCAGCTCTCAAGGTCATGCAAACTCTACAAAAATGGGAGAGCTCAAAGCTTGTCTCGTCCTTTTCCAAATATGCTTCCAGTGCCACTCCGCCTCAGCCAGGGGTGCCGTGAGGTCGGACACATTCCGCGCTGCAGATGCAGCCTTGAAGGTTCCAGAGCTACGAATGGGGATTCTAAGGGGATGATACGGGTACCATAAACAGATCATATAGGGATTAAATGTGGAGGGTGTTCGCAGGGGTCGCACTCACCGTTTTAGCGAATCAACTAGGGGTGGGCGAATGAAGCAGCAGACTGTAAAGGTATTTCGCGGCAGCTCCTGCTGCACTGCCGGTTTCATCGCAAAGTGCCCTGTATGCTTTGACGTCCGTTTCCATGTGGCTACGGTAGCGCAAATTTTCTTTCTGGTCCCAAACACCAAATGACAGACCTGGCGTTGAGTGTACATGAGAGCACCACTGTCTTTGTAGAAGATGTCACAAGCCAAACAAAACAAAGGCCAATCAGGTACATAAGAGCAGTCTACAAAACCATGACAATGCCTGGAGCCTCTCGGCATCTGCCTCCTGCACCTGTGTGGTCCAGGGCCTGTGATGCATCATTCCGCAGCTGGCGGTCCCTTCGCCGTTTCAACACACACGCGCACAACATGACTCTTTTTAGGACATGCGCACAACAAGTCAATCACACAGGTCAGCCCAGCAACTGCCTGTTGATCCACCTCCCTCCTAATTGGCCACTTGGGGCCGAAAGGGCCCATCGAAGGACGGGCGGGTGAGCCTTTCTTTCAGAACCTATCAGTTCTGAAAGGCAGGAGCCCTTCACCAAAGAGCAGGGCTGCAAGCAGACCGAACACAAATGACACAAGAGTTGCAGTACGCGTGAGTGTTTGACGCATGCACTTTATTGTGGCAGGGCACGCAAGCGTTCACAAAAGCAGCCCCTTTCGCGCTCGATTGCATAAACTTCTAAGCTGGCAGCTCTTCACCATAAAAGCGCCTGCAAACCCCTTGTGACTGAAGAATGGAGTTTGGAGTTAGGGACACGGGAAACACTCCTGGTCCTGGCGAAAGCAGCCCCGTGGCGAGGCTGCCAAGCTTGCTCTGCTGAGAAAATCAAAAAGTCCGCATCGGGAAACAAAGACCGGCCATGCATTGTTCTTTGCCCAAGGTGAGTGGCCAGCACCACGGCATCCGCGCCCTCCACGCTGAGAATATTCAGCACAGGGCCGTTCATGGCCTGCATGTCATCCGTTCAAGCTACGTCCAGAATGACCAGAGACCTTTGAAATGTGCGCCCATGATCACAGGAATAGACTCCATACTTCCAGGCAAATACTGTAGAAATCTACCTCTCGAAAATGGTCATGATGCTATTGGCCGGCTCCCACCTCAAAGTAGAAGGTGACATCCCGCATCTGGTGCATGGTGCACAACCTGCCACAGATTTCAGAAACCTCTGGCCTACTAGCAGACCCAGGTTTCAGCGAAAGGAATGGTCCCCAGCAAAAGGAATTATGGTCTCAACTGTCCATGCCCGAACACACAAATTGGCCTAGTGCCCACCAGCATTTTAACATTGGTCAGTTGCAACAGCCATTTGCACTTAGTTTGTGATGTGAAGGCCGGGGGGCAATTCATGCGGCCACAAATTTGGAGAAATACGCCTCTGAAGTTTGCGACGTGTACAGGCAAAACCTATGACGTCTGCACTGGCTTTCATTTGAAGAAGAATGAGGTAGAAAGCCCTAATGAAGTTGCCCTGCCCCAACTACCCGTTGTGCATCCAGCCCACCGATCAAGCCGAGGAATTGAAGCCCATGATGCTCCCAATATGATGGCATCGTGGGAGTTTTGGAAGAGGCTGTAGCTGCCTTAGCTCAGCGGTTACTCTCCCAAATCGGCTTTGCCAAAAGCAAGCACAAATCGAATTGTACAAGCCCCTGGAGAAGGTTTAAGCGGTTGCTTATGCAAAGCTTTCAGACAGACGCAAGGTACAGACAACGACAAATGTGTTGCACTGTGTACTATTTTCGGTCAGTCAAACAGTCCCAACCATTCTGATGACACCACTTTTACACCTAGTTGCCAGCCGAGCCGTAGCCAATATGGCGTGTATATGCTTTACAATCATCCACGGAGGCGTACGTTTTGTCGTGACTGAGAGGCATGGCAATGGAAAGGCATGTCTGTCCAGGACACTCTGTCTGCACTGATCGAGGAATATTGAAACTTCTTGGCAAAACTAAAGTCCAGGGCATCCTAGCTAGACAAAAACTTCCGACACATGAAGCACCTATTGCTGCACTCATCTTTCACTCCTCTCTTTTTTGCAGCAGTAACAGGCCTCGAATACAGTTTGGGCTCAGATGGGGTGAACTGAGATGTTATTACCTGTGACCCGAACAATCTCAAACTGAAACAAAAATTTCTTGAAGGCTGTTGGAATATTTCATGTTGCCTGCCTGAATCACTGTTAAGCAAGGCGCGGCTTCTGTTTGGAATGTTGCATGGACAGTTTGGACCTCCTGCGCCCTGAATCCAGCACATCCAGTGCTACTCTTGAAGATTGTGTGGTATCGCTGTTGGCGGATCCTACTGCTCTGGCAAATCCCAGAATCCTTCTGCCCTGCACCAACCCGAAATATGCAAGTGCTGATGATCTGCACAAATGGGGATTGGAGGAAGGCAGGAGATGTACTGCATCCTAGCAGAAAGCCTAACTTCGGAGAAGCGGCTTCTGAGGGCCTGCAGGCTTTCGCGAATGGAGACTCCCAAGGCGCAGAAAAGAACCTCAGCCAGTAGGTGTTGATGGTGAGGGCTTACGGGCTCATGCAGATTTGGGTAGCGTTGCCGCTCTTTGAATCCTCGGGGGGTGAACATCAAAAACCAAACTCGTAAAGCGACGTTCTTGAGGATCTTTTGGATGATGGAGCGCTGCCGGCCAGCAATTTCCACCAAGAGCCCGGAAGTCTGGGCACCACTAGCCTCCGAGGCCTGGCAGCATCAAAATTATGATTGTTGCAATGCCAGACTCACCTTTTTTTGAGAGACAACGCAGCGGCCGTCTGTCCCGAAGCTAAGCAGACGCACTTTGCTGTTGGCTCTTCGAGCACCGCAGCGTAGGTGCATGAGAATCCCACGAGGCTGAAAGACCACCAGGGCGGGTGGGTGGGTGCCGTAAAAGTCTTGAGAAGATACAACGGCAATTATCACTATCAATCACCTGCGCAGCAGAATCATGATTGTTGCAATGCCAGACTCACCTCTTTTATGAGAGACAACGCAGCGGCCGTCTGTCCCGAAGCTAAACAGACGCACTTTGCTGTTGGCTCTTCGAGCACCGCAGCGTAGGTGCATGAGAATCCCGGAATCAACTGTCAAAATGACGTACTGGAAAGGAAGAAGAAACACAAACAAGAAAATTAAATGATGTTGGTAAGCAAAGCCAGGCGGCGAGCAATGTTGTTCGCAGAGCTGTCAATGATCACCGTGGGCCAAGCTTTTGCCCACTGGAGTGGGTATGGCTCAGCAATTTTTGTCCAAGGGACACCTTGTGGGCTGGACCCGGAAAGAGCGATGTGCCTTTGTTGAGTACGGCTGCACAATGGCCTGGGGCCGGCGCAGCGTTTCTGAGGCCCTGCAGAAGTACTGAACCACGTGCAAACTTTTGTAGCCTTGCGCCAAGGAGCTCCATACTGGCAGTAATGCGAAACGAACTCTTGACATGCTGGGTGCTGACGAAGATTGTGAATGCATGGGGCCAGAAACAGCTTGCTGGATTGCGGGCTTTCCAAAAAACACGGAATGTGAGCTTGGGCACACGCACCAATAATACCAGCTGAGGCCTTAGCTGTGGCGTTGCCAGCAAGCACGGCGTGCTTGTGTTTGCCAGCCAAGCCAGGCACACCATACAAAAACTTGCGGGTGCGCACGACAGGAGTAGTGTGGGCAACAGACCACGTAGTGCACGGGGTACCTAGCCAGACACCGAGCACGACTCCGCTGCTAAGCCAGCCATGCAAAACACGCAGCACAGTAGGGTGGCTGAGGTCTTCAAGCTCGCTGCGGCATAGGTCCAAGCAAACAACACCGAAGCCTTGCCGGCGAAGTTGTCGGGCAATTGCCCCGGAGCCGCAAAAAAGTTCTAAAAAAACTTGGCTTTTGTGCTGAAGAGCCTGCTTCTTAGCTTGGGAAAGCAGGTTGCGAAGATGCTTGCGAATTTGAGCATCCTTTTTCACACGCTGGGCAGCGGACGAAAGGACTGAGCCAGCTGAGTCTTGGCCGTGGCGTTGCCGGTCACAGCCTCTCGGAGAAGCTGACTGCAACGTGGTAGCTGTTGTTCCACAAAGTTGCCGTACAGCTGGGTGCCGAAGGGAACCTTGCGGACTTGCTGCTGCGCAACCGTGGCTTTCTCGTACCTCTTCAGGCTGGTGTCTGTCATCCAGCGGCCCCGAGCTTTGATCTCCTTCAGCGGGGTGCCCAGAAGGCGCAGCTCGCTGACGCCGCCATGGCGGTTCCCGTAGAGCGTGGCCTCCAAGGAGTGCTTTCGTCGAAGACGTTGGTCTCGATGGCGTTGTTTGCTGAGGGGGCAAGAACGACTCCCCACTGGGGCATCCCCGCAAGCAGGGCGGCTCGAACCACCTGGTGTGGGCGAAGGCCTGTGAGCTCGCCGGGCCGCAGAAGGAGATCCCATTTGAGGAAAGACCAAGAGCCATCTCGGCGTGACCATGCGCCAGCAAGGCGCCCACAATGGCGGCGAAGGCCACACGTGGGGTAGGCAGCCGCATCTTCGGCTCGAGAGCCTGGGTGGCACGAGCTAACATCTTGGAGCCGTGCTTGCCGTACTCGGGAAACCGGTAGCGAAAGGCGGCGAAAGCGTACTCCGCGGCAGACAGGTCGGCGCCCTGAGAGTAGAGCTCATTAAGGTAGGCAGTGAGGAGGGCGTCGTAGTTGGTCGACAGGCTGAAGTGACCCCGGCACCAGAAAAGGAAGGCGTCCACCACAGCGTTGTAGCGATCCTGAGTCGAGGTCCTCCTGACCGCCTCCAGAAGTGACGGAGCGCCTGCAAGAGTGAGCTGGGTCATCTCGGCATTGGCCGCCGTTCTGCGAAGCCCTCTTGTTGGTTGCCACTGAGAGGTGAGCCGCGGCTACTGGCCGCAAAGTCCGAGTTTCCCAAGCAATCCTCACACTTCGGGGAGGAATCAACGGGCTGATGAGCCTTTTTGAGCCATGGCTCCTAGAGGGACGATCAGCACAATTTCGCTCAGAGGGAATCCACCGTACATGAAACTTTGAGTCGCTGGCCAAAGCAAGTGCACAAAGCTGCTGACACGTGCGATTTGTCAAAGACGAAGATCCTCTCCCCTTGGCGCAAGCAAGAGCCAAAGCAAGGTTGTCAACCAGGAGCAGGTGACGTTGTCCAGCGTGTCTGCGGCAGCGAAGAAGATGACGGGCTCCACTAAGCATAGCACGACCTTCGGTCCGGAGAATGTTTTCGTGGTGTTGCCACTCGCCACTGAACACAACATGCCACGAGCCAGGGTCTAAGACTTTTGCACCAACCTCTTTGAAGTCAGCATCGCGGACACGGGCACATTCATAATGGTCACCTGGGTCGAGCTGCTCAGTGTCCTCGCCAAAAGCGTGGGCCCGCGCCTTGATGGCGCCCTCCACGGAGTAACGCCAGTGTTCACATGACCTCCCAACGCAAGCGACCTCAATCGACTCCAACTGCCTTTCACATACCCCGTACCCGACCTCGCTGGAATCGGTCGCGATCACGGTGGGACTCCAGGGAAGGTCAAGCGAAGCGCATATCATGGGAAGGATTGAGGAGGCTTGAAGAATCTCATGGTGAGCAGCACGCCACAAAGACCCTGAGGGCTTATCCAAGCGAACGTACATGTAGACGGCATTGAACACAGACAGGCACTCTCTCCTGACCATCATTGCGAAAGTGAAGTGACCAACGACCTTCTCAACGACTTTCACAGGAGGCGGCACCCGCCTGCGTCCAAGAGCAAGAGCAGCCAAGCGCAACTTCCAGATCCTGGCGGGTGTGAGGGAGATGCGCTTGCGACTGCCATCAATGATCAAGCCGAGGCCGTGCACAACAGGCTGGGCCTCAGTCACCTCATGGATGCTGAAACCCCAATCCTCGAGAACCTGCCGCATGCGGTCAAAGGCAGACTGGACAGCTCCGACATCAGTGCCGCAAGCGAAGAAGTTGTCAACATACTGAGCATGTACCACTCGATCACCAGCGACCCGGCCTGTCCATGTCCGATCCTCAACGCGGTCTGTCTCCAACAACTCGACCTGGGCGGCCGCGGACTCAAGGAGACTCTGACAGAAGTACAATGACCAATTCCAACTCGTAGGCAGATTGGCACACTCGGGCGTGACATAGTCCTCGGGGCCACAACCTGCAGGCCACATGCACTTGTCTCAGTACCGGCATTTAATAGCAGGCAACCTGAAGAACCGGCGAAGGTGGGCAGGCAGCTCCATACGATGAAAAGCGTTGGCAGCATCACCGGCTGCGGTGTACAATGCGTCACCCTCCTCGACCTCAATGCTGCGCCAAGCGGATGGCGTGGGGAGCCGGGAAGAGCGAGGCTTCACAAAGTAATGGTTAGCCCTCCGGGTGTCCAGAATCAGACGAAGCTTACCAGACTTTTTACGAACAAAGAAAACACCCACAGTATGATCATGTTTTCCGGGAACAAATTGAAGCATTCGGGATTTAAAAAGGCGGCCAAGAAATCTACCCATATGTACAGGCGAGTGCGCTAACACAGGATCGATGTACGGCCTCACGGGTTCACAACTGCTCAGCACTCCAGAATCGGCAAGAAGCTCAGAAGCGCCGGCCAGTGACAAAAGATTACCACCAAGGCCTTGTCAAAACTGGCGATGTTGCACTCAATGTTGCCCAGCGAGTAGACGGACATCGAGCCGAGAAGCGCCTGAAGGGCTTCTTCGGGACGAGATTGGGGAGGCGGCCCAGCGTGCCTGTACTTCTCTGCTAAGCCATCCATAGCTGATGCCTGCACGGGGGCAAATGTCCAGCCTCCGGCCGCCCATGCATACAAGGAATTCAGAGTCTGCACGCCCTCGCGCAACCAAGCATCAGCAGCCAACCTCCGGAGAATTCGTTGGCGGGTCCCCCGACTGAGGTCCCCGTTGTTTACGCCGCACTCGGCAGCGGGCAGGCGCAAAGGAAGAAGATCACGTTGCCTGTCAGAACCGAGCATGGAGAAAGTCACAAAACTGCGCTCGCGCTATGCGAGCAGAAAAAGCGGCGACCCTTTCAAACTGCACGAGGTGGCCCGAGTCGACAAAGCCACACCGTGACCCCAAATGCCGCCAGGAGGCGGCCTTACTTTGGCTTGGTGGCCCGCAGGAGGGCTCTCTCCTCCCGGGCCGCGCTGTTCCTTGTTTGCCTGAGCCTCCTTGTGCAGCTCCTCGCCCAACCAAGTGTTAAGGGCAGTGGGGTCCACCCCCAGGAAGAAGTGCGACTCGTCATCGACGGTGCCAGTGGAGGCAGTGCCAAGAACCCTCTCCTTCCAGCGGTATTGGATCATTTGCAATCGGCGGCACAGCAACTCGATAGCAGCAAGTTCGCCAATGTTCAACTGATCGTACTCAATTGCCAGTTCCAGTGCTTTGCATATCGACTCATGTTCAAGCACTCCCCCTGTCCGAAGGCTGAAGCTTGCAGTTCACTTTCCAGGTGTTATGAATGGTCATGGGGCTGCCTCCATTCGAAACAAAGTACTGCCCAACCCACTTAGCAGTGCAGGGCCCCTTGATCGGCCAGTCGCCCCAAACACTCTCGCTAGCAAGCTCAACTCCATCACGAAGCTCTCGGCGCCGCTTCCCGCCAGTGCCGTACCTGACAGCCAAAGTCCGAGCATCGTCTCCAGAACCAATGGCAATGGCACCAGTAGGCGCAACTGGGGATACCTGAGCAGTGGGGTTCACCCCCCTGGCCGGGGGCCCCCCAGACACATAGTTGGCAAGCTCGTGATTGGGGATGTTCTCGACAAAGGGCACCGAACCGTCTGTAAGCCCTACCACAGCCTTCGATCCAGCCTGATGTCCAGCAGCAACCTGAGCAATGGGAACCAAGCTGCCTTTAGCGCGGTTCCCCTCTGACACTGCAACGACCCAAACCGACCCAGCAGTAGCCACAAGGACCGGACCAGCAGCAGGGGCAGCGGCCGGTACAGCGGCAGGAGTCGCTGGGGCCGCGGCAACGACTGCACCAGCGCCGGTGGCATCGATTTCCATCTGGAGGGAGTTAAGCTCAGCTTGGGCAAGACCTCGGAGGTGGGCAAGCTCCGCCGGAGAAGGCGGCTGGCCAATGCCGCCGTCCTCAAACCTGTAGACATTCCTTCGCAGCAGCCCGGGAGGCAAAGACCTGTCAGGAGCCAGCACAGCGAACCCTTCAACGTTGGGAGGGGCAATAGGCTCCCCATACACGTCAAGGTCCGGAGTGGCGGTGACGCACCACCCAACTGTTCTCGGATCGCTGCTCGGGGTCGGCCTCAACACTATGAGGCGCTCGTGCCACTTCCTCTCCCCTGGATACAGAATCAGCACGAAGCGCCCCTCCAAGGCGAAGGCTGGCAGCACGGTGTGGTCTAAATAGGAGGCCATGGTAAACCCCAATCCCAACCAAGGCACCAGCCACAAACCAGATAAAGAACCAGAAGCGGCTAGAGCTGACAGTGGCACACTCGCAAGTACAATGGCAGTGCTGTTCAGGAGCCGGTACAATCAGCTGTCGATCCGAGCAGAGCCAGTTCTGAAGCAGAAGACTACCAGCCACAATAAGCCCAGCAGGATTGAACGAAGGGAAAACCATGGGCATGCTACCTTCCTTGCCGTAAAAGTCTTGAGAAGATACAACGGCAATTATCACAATCAATCACCTGCGCAGCAGAATCATGTTGCCAAATGGTATTTGCATAGCTTTTATGGCTTTAATTGCCTGCGGAGCCCCCTCAAGATCAAGCAGGTTAAAGGTTCACTACACTAACCCAACGCCCAAAAGCCTTCACGAATAAGTCAACCACATGCTGTGAGATGTCGAGGAGGGCCAGATTCTGCTCAAACAGCACCTCAGCGTGCCAGGGGGCTGCTGCATTCTATCAATTCTGTGATAGTTTACTTAATCTAATCCTATCTTCCGAATGTGTTAATAAACTGTTGATAATAAAGCGTGAGGATGTGGCGGGGAGTGGGGGGGGAGAGTGGGGGGAAGGGGGGTTGGGGAGGGGGGGCTTCATAACGGAAGCTAAGACTCCGCCGCACCCCCCTCCCCCTCCCCCTTTCACCGCCTGTGTTCATAAACAGTTTATAAACACAATCGGAAGATACGATTAGACTAAGTAAGCTATCACAAATACATATTCAGCATAAAGCATAGTTAGACTAATAGGGATAATTAGAATGAAAAGTGTATGCCTATGATTTGTAACATGAAGCCCCTTAACATGATGAAGACACGTATTTTTATGTATGTTCACGAACCCAGGCCCCACAGGGCACCCTTCTGCAATTCTATCAGATGACACATCTCAATTTTCACATGAAGGCTGTCGACCAGCTGAATGTTGCACTGGGTGCTCATGGCTACATGCTCTCTAGGCAGACAAGGCACATAAAGTTTTGACCCAGCAGATGTGCCCACATTATCCATCAAAAAAGATGCCATGGCTGCATAGGCGGGCTGGACTTGATTCTGCAGGTAGCTTAATGCATTTTTCGTGGGAGCAGCAAGGATCTGAGAGCTGCTGTTTCCGAGCATCAAATCCTGGAGGGTGGCACCGAACAGGCCTATGGTGGCCTGCATCTTTCGGGTGTTCTCGTCAGGGTCAATCCCCAAAGCCACCAGCAAGAACTCGTTGGTCATCTTCTGGGAGAGCGTAAGCTGGCGACCTGCCTTGTTGATGGTGTTGGCCCACTCGGCATCTGTAGGAGCAAGGCCGACAACCAGACCTCCATCACAAATGACGGAGCGGTTGCAGGTCACCTTGGCAGTCCAAGAGACTTTAGGAACAAGCCCATGGCATGTTCAGGTTAAAGGTGCACTGTACCTTGGTGTGTCTGCCTACTCCTGCTCGCACGGATTCCGCGCAGTGCCTGGTGGCACTTGTCTATGCCAAACTCTGCACATCCCACCCCAACACCGTCCGTGAAAGATGCCCTATGCCTTCGTCGGGGCTTGGTCTTGCTGCAAAACAATGCCCAAAACTGCGGTCCATCCGAATCTAAAGAACTGAGCTCTGGCATCTCCTCAGCCAAGTCTCGCAAACTCCATTGTCAAAACGCTCTCCATACTGGCATCGGATGCATTGCTCCTGCCAATAGAATCCTCAGCATTTGCAGCAGCAAGTCTGATACGGCGGGTTTGGGGCATTGAGTGTCTAAGGGGCCCAATTTTGGGAACCTGCCATAAGACCCTCAACTTCCAAAGCAAGCTGCTCACATCTTTACACACCCTCAAGCGTTACTCAGGCAGGAGCTGCTGCATGAAAACAGCCAAGCAGCCATTGCACACACACATGCTGCGCTCCGCGGCCCCCTGCCAAATCCAAAGACAAGCTTGCTGCTAGGCTCAGTGAAGATTAGATGCACAGTTGTGTGTGTGTAATAAGCGCCTCGAAGCTGGTGGTGAGCCCAGGGGGGCAAGGCAGGCAGTCGCCACGACCTGCCGACCATTCTGAAATTCAGGTGCAAGGAGTTCAAGATCAGAACGATCAAAATGGACCTGCCTGGTAGTGATGAGTACGCGCCCCGCGGACACTTTGCACAGTCCGTTGCACCGGAGTAGTTTCTGAAATAACCTCCAAGACACATGAGCTATGAGGTCAATATGTTTTCTAGAGTTGATACATGGATACAAGCAATTTGGAAATTTGGGGGAAAGTAGCAGCTAATTATACTGCTTGCACCCTGAAGGCTCTCCTTCCAACCAAAACTTTCACTGTCACAGCTGGCAAACTGCTTGGAAATGGATCACATGAGAAACGAAACCCGTTATTGGAACAGTGAAAAATATCACGAGCATGCGAAGCGCTTGCATGAGCTTGCTCACGTGTGACACATCCCCGGCTGTCTCTTAGATTTTCCGAGAGGCTTTCAGGTGTATGTACAGACATTGCACTCCCACACCCAGAACCTGCCGTCCTTTGAAAGCCCTCAAACATGACTTGCCTGGCTGGCATGCTGAACAGCTTGTGGCCCCGGAAGCCTGGGAGTAGCTTCCGGGCTGGCATGGCCTGCAATGCAAAGACCGCGTGTACGGCACTTCCAACTCCAAAGTCAAAAACATTCAAAAACAATGTGATGTGGCTTCTGTTTCCCCTTACTGGAAGCTGCTGGCCCTGATGCTTCAGAATTTGGGTTTGAATCAGGCGTGGGATCTAAGTTTGTTGCGGATGTCAGAATCATTGCCCAGCTGCTGGCAGGCTGATGACCCAGGCTGACTGGCGAAGTAGCCCAAGAAGCAAGACTCGCACTGAGCCATGCCAGGAGACGCAAACCTCAAGCACAAAATCTCTGCAAACCGACCTATAATGAAGCCAGGCCCACAGAACTGTAGATCCAAGGCACTCCCCCGCTTCACATTCGCTGCAACCCAGCTCGTTGATCCAAACCTTTCCCTGCTGGCAGCTGCTGCTGCGGTCTGGGGGCAGCCAAGCGCTTGCAAGGTCACAGGTGCCGCTTTGGCAGGTTACTCGGTGGGCTGGGTCTGGACTCCAAAGCACATCCGTCTGAAAAAGCATCCCCAGCTCAGAGCGGTAGGCCAACTGGTTGAAACTGCTCTCAGGAGGCCCACCGGCCTGGCGAAGCAGGATGACCCCATCGCGATCTCCGTGAGAAGCTGGCACCGTGGTGGGGTTCACTGCATTGAACTGCCGCACGCGCCCGGTGAGACCCATGAAGTCCACTTGCAGTGAGAAGTCATATAAAGCCTGGCGTGAGGCAATCGTGGCCAGGTCGGCGACGGACCTGCACAGGGGGCGTCATAAGAGATCGTATCAGGACAATTCCCTCGAGCATAACGGCCTAACATATCTCCTGTGACTCTATCCTGCGCAAGTCTTGGGGATTTGATACGGGATTCTCCTGCGCCTGTTGGACCCGATCAAGAATGTGTGCAGAATACTGGCAATAAGCCAAAGACCATCATAGAAGTAGCCAGCCCATTGGTGATTGCAGACCCCCTTGCCACCCCCGAAGCTGAGACAATCCTGCGTGTAGTTGCTGTAGATGTCGGCAAGTTTGCGGCCTGATAAGCCATGAACATCCTCAGTGTTCAACATAGGCCCGCGGTCTGCGGCGATGACACCAAAGGCTGCGCGATGCAGCTCCGGCACCGAGCAGTTGCAGTCGCTAGCGCCTGCGCGCTCCGTGATAAAGGACGGGTTCCACCACCCAGATGCGACCAAAAAGTTGTAGTCTGGAGACAGCATGTTGTTGCGGTAGCTTCGGCACAGCAGCATTGAGCCCTCGTTCTGGTACAATGCCAAGAAATTAATTCGGGAGTCTTTGCGCTGCATCTCCATCGTCACACTTTGAGCATCTGGAACGTTGCCTGCGCTCGTAATTTGCGCCGTGAAAAGTACGGTCCAGTTATAACGGCCCGCAGCTACGTCGTCCTGCATCATTTCCAGAACCAAGTCTTTTGCAAGAATGTTGATGCTGCGGTAGCCGTATATGACTCCTACCCTGTGAAAGCCCATGAGCATCATGAACCTGAGAAGGCAGCTGGCATGGAATGCATCGATTGCTGCTGGGCCGTGGGCAGTAATGACGTCATGATGGAAGGGCCATCAGTGGGCGGTACTTCTAAGATGCTGGAACGGCAACACAATACATCTGCGTGAAGACAATCGGCGTTGAAAAACAGCTGTGGCGGGCTGGAACATATTCAGACATATAGTGGCCATTGGCTCATTTGATTTTGTGACCCACAACCCTCGTTGGAGCTCCTTTGGTTACTGTCTTGGCTGATGCAACTGCACCTGTTAATTGGTACGCGTCAACATGTGACCAAAGAAGCATCAAAACGCAGCTAGCACCCCTGTGTAAAACACATTAAATGCCGGGCAGCTCATAGATTGCCAATACGTTGAAGCGGTATGAAGGTGCCATGCGCGTGAAATACGGATAGCGTGAGGAGTCGCTCAGGCTTGTTGAGATGCATCCAGGCCCCACCTGCCAAGGCTTACACATCAAAGCCCAAATCCTGCAAACGTTTTTGCGAATTTGAATGAAATCAGTTCCGCAGGCCTCTTTTCATGGGTCGGCTTTTAAAATCTTGAAGTCTTGCTTGCCCCGCCTGCAACACATTGAAATACCGCGCTGCATCATTGACGGCCTCACACGATGCACTGCAGGAGTCTGACATGATGACGTGTTTCGTGGGGCCACTGGAACATGCTTCGATGGTTGCTTCCGTCGCATCGGGCACGGTGCACTTGGAGTCACCCAGAAACACGTTCATGCGAAATCCAGGCAACATCGTGCTGCTTTCCACATCCTGCGTGGCCGCTGCGATGACGGGCTCCACCATAGTCATCAGGTCTCCCAGGCCGCCGCTGTAAGGGCTGATCACCACGACGTTGATGTCCTGAGAAGTGGCTCGGGCAGGATTGGCTGCCACGGTGACCTGACAGCCACTCGCATGGTAACGGCATGGCCACGCAGTGTTGTCCGTAGTGGCTGTGCAGAGCGCAGGGCAGTTTGCTGCACGAACTGCCCAGGCCAGGCTCAAGGCAAGCAGGCCTCTGCCCAGTTCCACAACCATGGCTGGCAAGGCTCCCCAAAACAGCTCATGCAGCGGAAGTCCAGTCTCAACTCCAACCACCTCGGCTGAGCACAGATCACCGCCCAAACAAGAACAGATTGCGCTGGCAATAGTCGCTTCTTTGTCACCAGCTGAAACTTAGGCGTCGCACTGATGCTTCTCATCTTTCCATGCTACGACCTATCGCCCGAGCAAGTGGGCGCTGCATGCAGTTCCCCATAACCTTTCTCCTTGCTGAAGCACAACCTGCTAATCGTAGAAGGCTTTCCAATGACATCCCGACCCAAAAACTCTGTACTTGCCATGGAACTTCACGTTCAAAACGACAACGGCCTGCCCATCGGCAAGGCACTGGTGTCCAGTTGTCAATCACAACCTTTCCCGAGAATGCCCTGGCTGCTGTCATTTGACACTGAACCACAAGTGCAAGTTACAGATCACCTGTCTGAAAGCTCTGGTTGAACTTAAGCCACATCTGAAATATGAAGCCAGAGCGGAAGCAATCATCCCTTGCAGCCATTAGGGGCCTCAGGATCTTGCAGATAAACTGCAAACAGGTGCAGCCTGAACAGCAGACCCTGCAACACATGCAAATGACCTAATGCTCGCTGCCACGCTGAAGTGTAGGGATTTTGCTCGAGCGGCCGTGTATCTTCCACGGTGTCTTTTGCGCTGTGGGCTGAGTATCTCATCCCAGCCGCTTGTCTGCAGCACCTCTGTCTACAAACGCTCTGGGGCTCCGCGGTTTGAACCTTATGCAGGCTGCATCTTCAGCGCGAGCATGGCGAGCTCCTTGTAGGTCGGAGACACTTGCTCTTACTAGGCACCCAGTCAGCCCTGACCGGTCACAGGCACTTCTGGCTCAGTTTCACCTCTGCCAACAGCTGCGACCAAACGATTGTGTAGTCGTCATTCGCCAGCAAAAAAAATAACCCCCAAGCTCGCAAACGCCCTTGTTTTTCAAAACCCCTAAACGGATTTTGCCCCCCAGTATACAACACTACCACGTGTCCCTCTCTGAGGAAAACGACGGGTACGAAGCACTAGAGTTCCTAGCTTTCACCTACAAGGCCTGCTCGATCCTGGTTGCGAGTGACAGGGCACCCACTTGTGAGACGCAGCTTTGTCCCAGTCTTCGACGGGATTTGCTTGCTGCCTCAAATCTGGCACAAGGAAAGGATTGCCACCTGCACTTGCTGGCCTCTAGCGATGCTAGAGGCTACTAGTGGAGCGCAGTTGACAAGACTTCATGTTGCGCTGGCTAGCAGGAATGAAAACTACCATTTACAGGCCTCAGCTTGTATGAGTTGGTGGCAAGTGCAGCCTGCAACCCTCAACTAGGACAAGCCCTCAACGAAGAGCAGAAAAGTGCCAAGAGGGTCTGCACAGTTGCCAGGGCAGGAACGCCGGAACATTAGCTGTCTAGGCTTCCGCAAAACCTGTTCGCTTGCAGAAGCCATGAGTCGTGTTGCGGCGCCTGTTCAGGGCACTTGGTTGCGATCCGGCGTTGAAGCGAATCCCTTGAGCAGGTAAGCCGGCCTACAATCCTGGCAAGGACCTACGACCCTGCAAGACTGAATTTCACAGGAACAAGCGGAGCAGTTCTATGCCTGTGAATGCCTGTGAGAAGTCTAAAGGCACTGCGGCCTGATGTCAGGCTTGAATGCTTACAACGGCATGACATCCTAAAGTACAACACACCACTCAAGGCAAGACAAAAACAAGCCGAAAGGGCCTGGAACTTGGAACTGCCGGTTTCGTGTCTCTACGCCTGCGAGGCCAGGGGATCCGACCCGCCCTTGCCGCGGTTTGCGGAGCGGTACATATAGCCTAGGTGGCAGAAAGAAATGTGCCAATGCATGCGTTTGAAAGGAAATTCCATGCTCAAACGAGAACTGGAGCCGCTTAAGACTTCCAAGCCACAGCCCAAGGCAGAGCAGCAAAGCAAGATGAGAGCCATCGTTCCATATGTGGCCACGAAGATCCTGAAACAAGTCTTGCAAAAAAATGCCTATGCACGCCATCGCAGGCAACGAACGCAGTGCGAGCCAAGCATCCATGGAGAGGTGGGTGTCGCGAACACGTCAGGAGCGCTGAAGACTGGAACAGCAGCCCGGAGATGTGTCTGCATGTTGCCCATGGTCATTGAGATCTGCCCTGTGCTCTGACCTGTGGTCACGGCCTCCTTGTAGTCTGGCCAGGCCATGTTTATGCTATCCCAGCTACTTTTCATGTCTTGCCGCTCAGGCAAGATCTCCGTCAAGCCAGAGCCCCCAGAGAGGAGGTTTGCGTGCGATGCCTCAAACTGATTTATGGCAGCCCACATGGCTGAGGCCTCGTTTCGAACCATGGAGCTGAAGACCTCATTCACGCGTTCCATCTGCTTGAAGAGGACTTGCACTCTTTGGCCAGGCCAGTTGGGATCAGCCGCGAGACCTCCCATCAAATATTTCTTTCCAAGCTCATCCGTAGCACGACAGACTGAGCCTGCCAAGCCGGAGAGACCAGAGGGGTTTTGTGCTGCAATGGCATCCAGGAAGTCATGGACCAGTATGTCCAAGCTACGGATTTCTTGATACAAGGCCTGGGTGGGCTGTGAAACGAGATGAGGAGTAGACCTGCCCAGCATGAGGCTGTTAAAGCTGTCCTGCACTTCCTTCACCGTTGCTTGCAGGATGTCCGGCAAGATCTCCCCCTGGTCTTGTAGGACAAATTCACCGACAACCTTGTACACCAGTGAGCACAAGCCATGAGCCTCTTCCATGAGCCGCTCCCAGTCAGCTGATGTCAAGGACACATCATTGCAGGTCAAATTCTTGCCATCGTAGTAAGTCTCCAGCTGCTGGGCGGCTAGTCTCATGTCTCCACTCGCTGCCGTGGCGAAGCGGTCCATGTCGGGGAAGGCCTCAGACTGACCGCCAGCCACCCTGTAGGCAGCCAATTCCAACTCGGTGAACTCATCCTCCACCTTGCGCATACTGCGGATGAGACAGATGTTGGTGACACGCTTCAAGGACATGCTCTCCAAACCAGCTGCTCCGTCATGTGCAGGCAGGCCCAGCATTAGCTCGATGTGCGAAGTGTGAAACTCCTTTGCGGAGTAGTTGAGCCTACCCCACGTCGCGGAAGCCTGTTTAGGGAAGCAAAGAAGACCCATCACGCTGTCTCACTATCCTAGGTTTGCTTGTGCCTGCCTCATAGCCATAAGCGATCAGAGCTGCGTCCCTGGGGATCTCCTGAAGGCGGACCATCTGCTTTGAAGTCACCTAGCTGTTGCAGCGGAGGTGTGGGAAACATGCAGCGATCACTCCTTTCATGCCACTTTGTGGCCTTCATGCACCACTACATAAGTAAAACAATCTCAATTCCCCCCAATTCAAGGCCATTTTGGTAGCCTTCCCCATATAAACCACCACTTAGAGTGAGGTCGGGTGAGGTCGCTTTAAATTGCCCAGATAAATCTTACTTCATACTAGCACAACTGAACCTTGAGCAACATTCCTGGCCTTTAGCTCCTGCCAAAGCACACAACAAACCATGTACCTTCCCACCAGCCCTTAGAATTACCATAGAATCATGGCCAAAGGGCGTCGAGGAGAAGCAAAGGACGCTGGCTGCCAGCTTCTAGAGCCGCCTGCTCCACTTCTGTGAGCAACTGGTACATCTCGCTTTGGTATGTCTGCGTCAGGACGGCAATCCTTGGTATGCGGTTTGATAGCTGCACAAGTCTTGCACTGTTGTACTGGGAGGCATCTCGGGCTGCACCACCGCGAGCAAGAACAACGTGTCAAGAGAAGGCATCACAAAGCTGATTGCCCAGTCTACGAGCGATCCATCCCAGCCATCACTGGCAGTGTTTCCAGCATAGGAAAATTTCAGCACTCCAGACTGGGTTCTGCCTGTGCTGGCGCCTATTGCGCACCACACCCACTTTTAGCGGGATGATCCGCGCACCGCCTGCGGGAGCTTTCGAAAACCTTTTACTTACGGGGCGCACCCCTTCTGAGGTCCGTTTGACTTGTTTTTCCACTCACACTTCCGCGGCGTAGCTGATCTGAGCATGAAGACGCTCCCAATACTAATTAGTGTTACTACTTGCTTACCCACATGCGTACGTCACTTTTTGACCACGACAAACATCCGCACACCTTCTGAAAAGCAGAAGGACGAAAGTGATTCTGGATGCTCCACGCATGTCCACAAGCTTAGGTGAAGGTTCACAACCTGGCCGTCTTTCGTCGCAGATTATCCTCCTTGATTGTCTGGTTGTGCCTCTTTGCATTCCGAGAGTCCGGGCCACATCCACCGGTGGAATGACGTCCAGACTGATGGCTTCATTGAATACTGCTGACCTGGGCTATGAACTTGAGCGGCTCAGAGTAGAGATGTCCCCAGCATAGGCTAACATTAATGAGGCCGAGATGACTGGGAAATGATGCTGTAACAACATAAGCTTGCACCGCTTCCCGGTCATATTTTTGATCAGTCAGCAAGTACAGCAGAGAGGAACGTACAAAGTCAGCTGAAAGAATACCGTACAAGACTGCATGACCACGACACTCAGTGAATATGTGAAAAGGCCACACGCCATCTTTGGCCAAAGATCAGGACAGCTGGTAGGATCCATGCAAACAGTAAAGACATCAAGGCAATGGGTGCATAGCTTAGCGCAGCACATCATGGACCACTCTTTGGCCACGGCAACAAAGCCATCGACCATCTCCTTGCCGGAAATAGCTTGATTCATGCGCTAGGAGGATGGAACTTGTGAACAGTGTTGGTTGAGAGTTTCACATTCCTGCTCAAGATTGAAAGGTCTCGTTCCCAAGCACTGACTCTGCGGTCTGAAAGGAACTAGCCTGGGCACGCCTGCCTCATCTGGAGTATGCAGAATCTCAGAAGCCAATGCTTGATACATCTTGAAACGATCATTCGGGTTCAACAGAAGTCGATCTGCAGCTGCAAGCAAGACATCAAGCATGGGCTGCTATCCTGCCGGAAAGGACGTCAAATATGCCTTGCTATGTAAGTAAAGTGAAGCAACCAATCGCACAAAAAAGACACATAGAGTCAACATGTGTGCTCGACTCTTGCAATCTTTCCAGAACGAGGTTGAACACACTGGTGCCTGGTGCTTGTTACTTCTGGGTCATGGCATTGGGCAGAATAAGACTAATCCGGGTACTCGCTTGTGGGAAGGGTACAACACAGATCAACACGCCCACTGCGCAAGGATGAGACGGCAAAGCCCTACGAGCTGCTGGCTCGAGGTGGGGCTGGCATGCTCATCTTGAAGCTAGTCAACTTCACCAACCTGAAACTCTGAATACCCATGGCAATTTTCTGAAGCAAGCCGAAGGAGGACCCCAAAATTCGTTCTCTCTGCCGCTGTATTCGGGATCTTGTTGATTTTGGTAGCAATTTGGTGTGCTTTCTCAGTGAAACCTACTTTCTGGCTTCCTTAGATCCTCAAAGACTGCATCTTGCAGGTGGCAAACCATGAAAGGCAACAAGGACCAGTTGCCAGAATCGTCATACTAGCAACCACTACACTTATTGCACAAATATCACTAGGAAGCATGACGTAGCGCAACAAAGAAATCTAAGACTGCTGGCAAAACGCCAAAACAGCAGCAACAATCACAGGACCAGCACTGGTAATGATGGCAGAAGTCATCCAAGTGGCTGAATTTATAGCACTCGCTATATAAAACATGTGTTAATCACTGCAATAAAAGCATAAATTCCTATAAGTCCCGCGTGAGAGTCAGCAGCATAGCACAAGCAGTACTGGTCTTTATAAGACTGAGAATACTAGCCCAAACGATGACAGCACTGACGGCAGCAACGGTCATAAGAGTATGAGACTAATGGTAGATAATGCTACAAGTAGCATTCGTAGCATGCCCATACTTGTAAATATAGATGAAACTGCATGTTCTGAGAAGAAAAAAGGGGCCTACAAAACAGAAAGCAAGAAGCAGGATGCCAGAAGCAGAAAGCAAGGAGCAGCAAGCTGGAAGCGGCAACAAAAGCAGGAAAGTAAAAGCAGCAAGAAAATGATCAAAAAACAAAAGCACTCCCACACAAAACAAAAAAAAAAACACTGAAAATACAACTCTGCCGGCAATATTCGGCTCAGCGCCCTGAAAAAGCGCCCCGCAAGCCATTCAAGACCGATTTGTGGAAAGTGCAGCACTTTCGCACCGTTAGCAAGGCCGGTGTTCCGTTGGAATGCTGGCCAGCAGACGGGATCGCAGAAACATGGCAAAACTGGGGCCTTTGAGTATTTGGCGTTGGTTTGTTCTCAAAGAACGGGTGAAAATAGAAGAAATTCCAACTTGGGGTTGGGTATGGGGGGAAGAGTGGTCTAAGTTGGAGGGGGGTTTGGGGGTGGTTAATGCGTGAAATAATCAGAATTGATTACAATGGCGTGTTGGCTGAATACCCCACTGCATTCAGGGACACCCATTTCACACGTAAACCGGTGGGTCTCGGGTAGAATGGCTCTATGAAATGAGAGGCACAGCTCGCGCGTCTCTGTAAAATGATGTAAAATGACCACTCGAGCCCTGACTTGAATGAACTCTGTAAATTGAGTGGTCCCAGGGGACCCCCCAGAACTAAACTAAAGCGTTTTACATGGTACCTGGGTACAGTCATTCCACAGTAGTAATGGGCAGTGCAATGTGGCTGATGGATGGTGGTGATTGAGCATGCCAGCACAGCAACGCGAGCAGAGACAGAGACAGCATTAGATTTTGGCTGCCCTCCCCTCTCGAGATCATCTATGTAATTATGAAATGTCGCAGCTCTCATTGGACCAACCTATTAGTTCTCGGTAACTGCCTTCATTCGGGCCCTGCCCATATGCTGCCCTGCGCACTGTCTCCCGGAAGCACATTCTCATATGCGTGAAGCAGCCTGTTTACTACCAAAGGACGTCAGCAACTGGTGCGTTCCTCCTATTTTTTGCTTGATCCTCCTATTCAGAAATGAGAGGAGGAAGCATGTTTTCCTCTGGACACTTCCCCCTCTAATATCTTTAGATAAGGGGATCTAGGTTCTCAAGCATTTTTTCCATATGGCCGTCTAGCAGGGGTGTTGTGGAAACAACGAGCGAGGAAATCCCAATTTTGTCAGAGAGCCACGGATATTGTAAATAACCCGCTTTAGCACACAGTCGGAGTCGTCCAGACAAAATGCTGTTAACGGCAAGCGCGGCGATACGTCTGCGTGTAGAAATTGATGAGTGGCTTCCAGGCGCTCAGAGTTTACGAGGAATGGAAAACACCCTCAACAGCCGCTGCTGCGGCTGCTGCTGCTGCCACCACCAACGCAGGGCGCAAAAAAAGCAAAAACATATTGTCAGCTGTTAGCAACCTTTCGTATTACTGCGGCCTGTTCGCGTAGAAAACTCAATGATGTGACCTACATGAAAACAAGCCGCCCATGCGAGAAAAGCGTCTGAGAGTTGACGGTTTTCTGTTCATGGAGAGTACGTAGTTTTGGTCTGGGCATGGGTGCTCTTTTCATCAGACGATTTTGAACGTGCACGTGACTATGGTCTGGGCATGGCAGTGGACAGAGCGAGGTGCGTATAGAGACGGCTGAAAAACCAGAAAAGGACGAAACCTGAACAAGAGTGCAGTGATCCAGCCCCTCCGAAAGTTCATGTATGCAGAATCTCCCACATCTTTCAGTATTTCGTGGCCATCTGAAACGCACTCAAACTGCGCATTTACAGGGCAATGGTGGGAATAGCTAAGTTCTCATCATGACAAAACGTCCTAGCGATCCACTGTTCAAACCGACATGTCCTGGAGTGCGCAGAGCCCTCAGCACGTGTAGCACTAGCCATACTCGTTTTCACCATACCCTGATGGACAGGAACTGTCAAGGACTCTCATGATTTCAAGGGCACTGGGCGAAGGTACATGTTACGACTTCTCACCTTAATTCAGAAGCTCCTCCTCTGGCTTGAGAACCATGGGAACGCCACCGCAGCTCTAAACAGCCAACAAATGCAATCCTGCACCCCCTCCGACCAGCTAGCATTCTCTGAACCAACACCCGGCTGAGCTGCCCTGCCCTTTTCGCTCCGTCCTGCGTGGGTGGTGCCGGCATGCCAGTTGCTTCGCTGCCCTCCAATAGGTCCGTAAGTTTCCTCAAGTTGCCATCGTTTTTCACATGCTTGCATGTGTGTTAGCCCAGACAGGCCACCATAAAGCTGCGTCACCAAAACTGCTCTTCAATCTCCCTCTCCGGAATTGCCAAGGTGCTGCGTGTTGCTGGTGACTTCTACTGCAAGATCCACCTTGCCTCAGTAGCAAGCTCTAAACATGGCCCGCTGATAAAAAGAGGCATGTGGAAGAATGTCTTTGTACTCTGTGGTGAACAGCGGACCTCATTTACGGTTGCAATGCAGGCGTGTGCCTTGCAATTGCAAGCCATTCTACACAGGGACGATTCGCCAGGCTGCTTTGTTCAACCATGACGGCATTAGCGATCTGCATGTACAGTCGGGCAATCAATTGGCTGGTAATGCGTTGATCGGAGAGCCCATCAATCATCTTTGACCACTCACCTGATGAACACATTGCAGGGATGTGTTGCGCTTAGTGGCTGCCATGACCATCCTGGAACACATGCCTGAAATTGACTATGCGGATCAAGTTGCTGTCTGTGATCGTGGCCAGAGGGTCGCACAAACCAGGATCATTGACATAGAGCTTCACCGCCTTGCTCATGGCAACTGCCAGAGGGTCAACGTAACCAGACATATTCCGTGCAACGCGTAGAGCAGTGTTGATGCTTTCCTCTTGCGACTGCGCATTGAACACATTCCGCGCCAATTGGCGAACCTCCTCATAGTAGTACGTGACTGCCTTCATCTGATGGATGGTACACATACTCGTGAGCTGAGGTACGCCTGCCCAATTTGCACCTCTCAGAATGGCAGTGTGGCTAGCCTCAAACACATCAAGATTGCTTCGCAGCTCCCCCACATTGGACTCCACATCAATACGCTTGGCAATGAAAAGAACATTTTTCAACATCTTCTGAATCAACGACCGCTGTCGGCCAGCGGTATTGGCTAGCAAGCCATTGAGCTGAGCTCCCGCTGCCTGCGCTGCATCGACGAGTAAACCTACAACCTCGTCCGACAAGTCAAAGAGCTCCTTGTTCTGGATGTACAAGGAGGTAAGGACAGATTCAGCAGCCTCTGCAGCCCTATCCATGTTTCCTCTTAGTAGGGCGTACATTGAGTCCTTCTTGTCCCTTAGACTTGTCTCGATGGTGCTCTTCACGTCATCTGTGGGTGCTGGAATAATCTGCAGATCACTATTTCCCACGAGCATGTCCGTGAGAGTTTTTTCAAAGAGATCCATGGCAGCGAGCATCGCCTGCTTGTGCTTCTCCGTGTCTATGTTCAAAGCCATCATTAGGAATTCATTTGTCATCATCTGGGACAGCGTTCGCTGTCGGCCTGCTACATCAATAGTAGCGCCCCATTCTGCATCTGAGGTGGCATTGCCTACAACCACACCATTCTCACACACCAGAGTTCGAACACACTTCACCTTTGCTGCCGCACGTAGCTCCGCAAAAAGTGCGGAAGCTGATTGCAGCTTACAAGTTGCTACGCAAGTCCAAGGTCCAAGGCTCCACTAGTGCAAACAAAGTAGGTAATATCCCAGATGTTTCACAAACCTAAGCCCCGTCGAGAAAACTCATGGTCCAGCTTTTACAGATACTGTCAAGTATGGTTACCCACAGATCCACTCCAAAGCCAAGTTGCACACACACCATCTTGAAAGCGTGTTCCGAAGGCGCACTTGATGCAGTGCTGTTGGTAATAGAAGCCATCGCAATTACACATTGAAAGCTCCGCCGCGCCCTTCCAGATCAGTGATCAGTGCTCGAATTGTGTTGGCTGCTATTGTATCCCGGCTACAGCGCAGAAGTGAAACTCAAACCCCGTCTAAGGCCCAAGGCTGAGGCTGAGCGAAACCCTACGTACAACGACACGCACTGCAGAAAGCACATGCGTTTAAGACAACACTGCCCTGCAGCCTCAAAATTCGTGGTCTGCCCGGCGGGACACATCGTGCATTGTTGCTGGCCCTCCTGTGGGTCAAGGCATCATCACATAACCCCGACCCGAGAAACTAGAAACAAAAAACCCGCAGCGGTGTTTGATTCTGAGGAAACAAGTGGGTGCTCACAATGGGGATAGCACTCTGTACATCACATAAAAAATCCCTTGCACTTGCCAGGTTGCATGCACATCAACTTCCTAGCTGGCTGGGGGCTCACAAACCACCTGTGAAGTGTTGTCTGCCGTGATCCACCGCATTAGCTTGGGCTACATGCGATCACTCTCTGGCTGCGTACTTGCTATGTCCTGTTCATGGTTCTGGTAATAACAAAAGCCAATGAGAGCAGCAAACTTGGAACCTGAAATGCACCAGAATCAGCAGCATGTCCTTTAAAGGAACTGTGAATTCGTCCCATCAGCAATTTCAAATCATTTTTTTACTAAAAAGGGCTGCATCCGTGAGTCGAGCATCCTCTGCGGGCCCTACACAACATTCCCTGAATCGGAGGTTAAATTACAGCCACCATTTACCCTTAAACAGCTTTCCAAATTGCACGCTCAGCCACGCGATCTGAGTAGCGACCGACTGGGCACTTCTTGCCTGGGGCCAATCGCATAAAATACAAACTTCTACAGCGGATGCAAGCCAGTCATTCGTTTACGCCCGAAAGCAACTGCTATCAATTCTCCTACATATGGCACCTGCACATTAAAAACCTTTCCGCTTCCTGATGATCACGAGTACCGCTACTGTAGCTGGCACCGACTGCCAAAACCACTCTTGCAAACATGGCGCACTCGGAAGCGCCCTGCGCATCCATGTACTGGCCTGCTGCTGGATTCACAAAATTAAGTAGTATATCGTTCGGACTCCGAGAGCAGTCGGTTTTGTTCGCAAAGGCGCACGATGGCATACGGGCCGCGGCCATGGGCCGCAGGCCGCACGAGTCCCGAGCCCTGAAACAACGCCACAGCGTGTAAATGCTAAAGCCCTTGCTTTTTCAACCGGATCGGAGCTCCAAGCCGCCAGGTACGGTGGAACAACACACCGCGGTGCAACAGCAGGGATGTGTTTCCAAAGCGCAGCGCGACGCAGCATGCAAACTCCTAGTGCCCCTATTGCCGACAGCAAACAAACAATAGAAGAAACAGAAATGACCGGTCCTAGTTGTCAGCTGAACTCACAGCACTCTGCATCTTGGAGAGCTCAAAGGCACGACAGTATGCGACACTGCCAAGGTTCAGGAATGATGCCGAAAAGCCCCACAGTCCTGAATTCTGATTGAAGTGATTGCATACTCCTTCGCAGCATGTCGCTGATGGCACTCCCTCACATTATCGAGTCATCAAGCATGAGCTGCGACACACACGGCTTTATTGCCCAACACAAGCGTGTCCAACGCGCATTTAAAGCAGGGATGAAACTATCTTCCGAAGTGATTGAAACCTGAACACAGGATTCAGGATCCAACCAAACAAACAAGTACCCATTTGACGTGTCATAACATGCCTCCAGCGATGCCAAGTTGAAGTCTGGGGAAACCCTACCATGGTAATGACTAAAACCCCTAATCCTGAAAGCTCTAAGCACTCATACCTCTAAACCCTAAACCTTGACGCTGGAGCGGAAAAGCCCCCTGAACCCTAAAACCCCTAAAGCTGAGCCGCCTCATTCTGCGTCACTATAAACAAGCAAAGTCCATGTTTTGCAAACGGAAACCTAACCGATCAAAACCCAGCAAAAGCCCACATGCTTTCGCATTTGGTACTGTCTTGCCCAACTCCTGCGTGCTCTTCATCCGTGCTTTGCAAAAACAAGGTAAGCGGGAACAACAACATAACAATGACAGTCTGCTTCTCGTCCTGGAATAAACTACTGCAGTGCCGTACAAGTGCGCTGGCACGGCTACAGTTGGAACTTGCATACTTCTCGCAATCGAGCGCACTAGAGCTCTCTTGCTATGAACTGGGCTCATGGAAGCTTCTCGCGTTCAAATGCACTACTGTAGAGCATGCATGCCACGCAGAATGGCAAGCATCCTTCTCGTAGTCGAATGCAAGTTCACTAATGGGGATGCAAAGATGCTCCTCTGAATGGCGCGATTTGCAGCGCACGTGCTATGAGCTTGGCCGGCGCAGATGCTTGTCAAAACCGAGGCGAATAACACGAATATGATGACGTGCTTCGTGCAATCGAATGCACAAGAGCTCTGTTTGGACTGGCATGGATCTTTTTCTATATTGCATGGCCGGCTTGCAGGCTTCTCGTAAGAGAGCACACCGGAGCGTACATGTCATCAAGCAGCTGGCATGGATGCTTCTCCTGATAGAGCGTGCTGGAGCGTGCATGTGTCAAGGTGATTCGGCATGGGTGGAGTCAGCCGGCACGGATGGTGTCCTAGCTGCCTAGCTGAAGGGCTGGCATCGTCGGGGAGCCTGAGAAAGGTACACCTATAGTTTTGCGAAATGGCTGCTTTGTCTAGGCCCTAGGCTAAGATTGTGGGCCTTACCTCCTTGTATCTTGATGCCATGCTGCTAAGCCCAAGCCACGTGTCAATTTAGATAACCTCGTCATGAATGCCTGCTACAGCTTCATTTCACACTCCCCCGTATCTTACTTTCGCGTGCCCCTGGCCCAGCCTGCCGGACAGTCTTGACATTCTGTTGATCGAGGGAAGGGCGCTTTCTTGCCAGGAGGGCATCTGGTGCAAGTTGCCGTTCCAGGTTGAGCTGCAAAGTAGCCCGGAGCACACTCAGCGCATTCTTGCCGTCCCCCCTGGGCATACCTCGCGCAGCCAGGGAAATGAATGCCTTGTCTGTCAGCTGTCCTTCACAGAGCTAACAGCATCAGATGAGCTACAGTCTAAAGTCCTAGCATCGCCCTTACTAATGACTAAAGCTCAGACAGCATCAGTGCGAGGGAAGCTGCAATCCTGCTGGGCATTCGTCACATCCCAGCTCCACTACGAACACTGAGCCATCGGGGCAGCTGTCTCCACGGTCTTTGGGCACAAGCCCAGAGGCTAAATTACAGACCCCAGTACTACAGGAGAGGCGGTGGGTTGCATCAGGACCCCAAGCAATGTCATTCTTGAACTCGATCCCAGCATCGGTGCGGTAGGCAAGCTCATTGAAGGCATTGTCAGCAGTTCCAACTACCTTGTCCCACTCTCATAACAATCTCATCGCCTCCCGCAACCAATTGCAACCAAGGCGCCTGGCGGAAGAGGATGATGCCCTCGCGATCTCCATGGGAAGGTGGCGATGTTCTCGGACTCACCGAGTTGAACTGCCGAACCCTTCCAGTTAGGCCCATGAAGTCTGCGGACAGGGACATGTCGTACAAGACTTGGCGGGAAGCTTGTGTCCGCACATCTGAGATGGACCTGAGGGAATCGCCCACTTGTCACTTCTCCTACATGTGCACTTTTCCATACTTTTCCTGAGCCCTGAAAATGCTAGCTGCCAGCGCCGACATCCAACTGCGCACGCCCCACCTTCCTTGATCCACCAGGAACTTGTGCAGGATATGCGCGATCAACCACAAGCCATCATAGAAATATCCTGCCCACTGATGGTTACAGGGCCCGTTGCCATTTGCGAAGCTATTGCATTCTGCAGTGTAGTTCGCGTGCAGGTCGGCAAGGCGACGTCCAGACAAACTATGCACGTCGCTGGTTTGTAGCATGGGGCCCCGATCCAGCGCGAGCATGCCATATGCCGCGCGATGCAGCTCCTGCGCTGTACATGGGCAATCAGGTTGACCGGCCCTCTCCGAAATAAAGCCCGGGTTCCACCAACCTGATGCCACGATGAATACATAGTCCGGAGATAGCATGTTGCGCTTGTAGCTCTGGCACAACAACATGGATCCGGTGTCTGCGTACAACGCGACGAAATTGATGCGCGAATCAGTACGATAAATCTCTGCCAATGCATTTTGTGCATCAGGGATGTTCCCGGCGCTAGATATTGAGCTAGTATGCAACACTGCCCACGAAAACGTCCCAGCAGCCACATCAGCAGCAACTAATTCCAAGAACGCGTCTTTTGCAAGAATGTTGATGGAGTTGAACCCGTGCCTTGGACTGCGACAGCACATCTACTGGGCGTATCATTGTAAAACAAAGGGCCGCCCCTTGTCCAGCTAAGACGCACAATGCCAACTCTCTGAAAATTCATCAGTTTCATGAACTCGTATACAGCCAAAATGTTGAAACGATACGACGGCGCCATGCGCGTGAAGTAGGGGTACCGCTCCTGGCACAGCACATCATGGCACAGTTCGCGGCTGATGGTGTGGCAAGCTGTTCAGCACAACGTGGGACATCAGGCAAAGATGGCTTCATGGCTTCATGCGGCTTGGAGTCAAAATCACTCAGGCTTGTGGAAGTACAGCCAGGACCTACCTGTCAGCTCGGGCAAAACGCAGAAACAAAATACTTATGAAAAGTCTACTCGTTGTGGCACCATGCATCGAAGTTGTACTCAACATTGCCTGCAATACGTTGAAGAAGGCAGCTGCATCATTGATAGCTTCGCATGCGGAACTACACGAATCACCTGTCAGCAATATGCCAAGTGGAAATCATGGAGGCATTGTTTGGCGCAGGCTGGCAACCAGCAAACAAATTGTCCACACGCATGCAAAAAAAAACACACCTACCGGCATCAGAACGCCACATTGCCAAGAGGCCGAGTACCAAGTGTTTCTCGACACCCGTCGACAATGACGCCACAGTGGCAAAAGTCGCATCTCTGTCCGTACACTTCGTGTCCGCTAACATCACATTCAACCTGTAACCTGCACAACTGTATGTCGTCCGAACAGGAAACAAAGGTTTGTATTGGACATCAATGCTTGCCTGACAGAAGATTGCTGTCCTCAATGTCCTGCGTGGCAAGTGCAAGCGCCGGCTCGACCATGGTCATGAGATCACCAACCCCGCCACTGTATGGGCTCAACACCTGAACACTCGGCAATTGACACATCGCGCTGTACACCTGACGTTTGCTACTTTCTCCGCTGACGGGATTGTTTGGCATGACCTGTTCTGAATGACACGCGTGCTATCCCAATCATGCTGAGACTCAATGGAATGTTTGCACTGACCTTGTTACACACAGAGGAGAGCAAGTGTGAGAGTTCACAAACAAAGTATGCCACAGGCATCGAAAAGTGTGGTTGGAAAATTCGGGGCAAATGCGTAGTGAGCAGATAACACTTGTTTGTGCAGGACATGAACCGTGCAACTACAGGCTACGACAAGAGATTTGCACATTAAAGCTCCGCGCGTCGAACAAAACCCGAAGGCAAGACATACCAAAATTTCCTATCAACAAACGCAAGATGCGAGCACAGTACCTGTCTCAGCAGGTGGGGAACTGTAAGATCAACACTGCTTGTCACTAGCAAAGGTAATCACATAGATCATAGATCTTTGGCCAAGGCGCTACAATGTTGATGTCGGTGGCATTCACTCGCGCCTGCGCCGATGGGGTGCGCATTGCAAACGGGAAAATGCACAAAACAACAACAAACCCTAACCTGAAAACCAATCTTGGTCCCAGCGGCAGGGTTGGCTGCTGGAATAATTTGGCAATTTGCGCCATAATACCTAGCTAATGGTGGCAAGCAATAATGCGCCAACATGGATCGCAACATTGCGGCAAAGCTACCGACAAGGCCACTGCGAGTTGTCGGCGGCTGTGCACATGCTGGGGCATAAAAGGCTTGTTGACCCATTGCCCACGACCAGCAGCAACGGCCAACCTGAGTTTCGATTCGCGCGCATCTTGGTTTAAAAATCCTCTGGTTGCACATGGTTACAGGACAACATGTCTAGAACGGGTCAACCAAAGCCAGACGTGAATTCCCAAAATGCATCTCCAACGCCGCCATCCCCAAAAAACTTTCACTGAAATGCATCTCCAAATTAATATGAACGTGCGTCAACTTGGTGGCTGCCTGCCTGCCGGTCGTAATTCCCCTTGCTTTACAGGGTTTGGGGGAGGGTCTGTTCAGGAATTCCCATCACTCGACCGGGTTTGTTCCAATTCGGGGTTCCATGTCCGAGCGCAGCCGGAGACGGTTTGTTGTGACCACCACCCCCACCCAGGCCGAAGCTGTTGTCTTGCGAAGCCATGTGGTGCACGCACGCGGAAAGCAAGAGGCACAGCGCGCTTTCGTTCCAGCAGCCCCGAGCTGGGCGCCCAGGACCACAAGAGCCGCTGCAGCCACCCGCGCTGAGCTCCGGGTACGCAACTCGCTTGCGACGCTCTGCACCCACGTCGTGGCACCGCTGATCACCAATTCTAGCCGGCCTGTCAATCGGATCGACTTCGGGCGTGGTGGTGTGGGCCAGCCACTGCTGTGGGAGTACTCGCACCCAAAAAAAAATCATTTTGGTCCCCCCAACCTAGACGGACGGCCAAGACTTTGGCCCGGACGACCCCTTCGCCCGGACAGCCACAGACCTTGACCGGACAGCCCGGACTTTGACCCACGGCCCCCTGGCCCCAACAGCCCGGACTTTGGCCTGGACGCCCCGGACATCTACTCCGGACTGCCAAACGACAACACGAAAGCTCCTAACATGTCATCATACATCAACCATCTACACCCCCCACCCCGTTAAAGCGAACATATGGACTCCTCTGCACCCCACCCACCCGCTTTAAAGCCAAAAAAATCAGAGCCATGAGAGCTCCTAACACTTCTCCAAACATCAGCCATCCAAACCCCCCACCCCCTAAAAGCAAACGTATGCACTCTTGCACAACACCCAGCCTGGACAGCCCAGATTCCTGCCCCGGACTTTTACCCGGACTCCCAAGCAACAATACGAAAGCTCCTAACATGTTTTTTCCATCGCGCCTTTTTCCCCGCACTCGATCCTAGCATTATCCCTGCTTCCCAACAGGCCATGCACACGAGAGCGGGCTGCCCCATTCGGCGCACCACCTGTGTCATGCGCTGTCCAGCATCGTCTAGCGCAGCTGCAGCCGGCTTGGCAGCGCGGCTTCAGCGAGGTGCCAAAGGGATGGCATCAGCGTCTCTTGGGATCGCCGGCGTGCTCCACGTGCCCAGCACGGCGCTGCAGACAGCATGTTGGACCGCGACACCCAGAATGCTCCACCAGCGGCGCGCTCAGCCCTGCGCAGCTGCTGCGCGCAAGGCGGGCGGCGTGCGGCGCCGCCGGAGCCGGACGAGTTGACACGAACTGTTGAGCTTCGTCGCTCCAGCGGCTAGCACGCGCAGTCGCTAGGGCCCGCCTCGGCCAAGCTCCGGATAGCGTGCGGCCTTCCGCCGCCTGGCAATGTTGAGCGCGGCACCATCCCGGGAATCTGCCGCATGCGCGGGCTGGCCATTGCGGGTCAGGGTCAACACTAGTGTCGCATCGCAACACAAAGCCACCCCGTTTGTTGTAGCGCCGTACACAAAGAGGTCCGGGCGGCGGCGGTCTTCCGACGTAGGCAAGCCACTGCTGAGGAACCACTCGGCCTTCTGGCCCCTTCTGCTTCGCGCGCAACTTGGACCTATGCCTATGCCCGCTCAAACACAGAGCCCGCGTTCAACAGGCCAGTACGAGGCCAGGAAGTGGGGTGATCGCCCAAGGCATCGACGACTCCGCGGCAGCCATAGTGGCTTTCCCCACCACAGCGTGCTCGCGTGATGAGGAAAAGGAGGTGCAGAGCAAGATGCATGAGGTCGGGCGTTGCGGCGTGAGAGGGTATGGCGGCGAGCCACGCGCCGGCATGCGGGCCAGATTGGGTTTGTAACTTTGCTCAGGCTGTGGGGTCGGCAGCTGGCCGAACCACCCGCTCTCGAAAGGTAGCGTGACGTGCGAGAGCAGCATGTCTCTGCCAGCCTGGCACACCTAGAACGGGCTCGTTGCCATCCCATGTCAGTCTTTGCCCGCCAACGAGGCCGCTCCACGTAGCCCGCCCTTCCCAGCCTTCGCGGTCGAGTTGCTGTCCTGCAGCAGCCGCCGCCCGTAAACAGGGCGCCGCTGCATCTGCCCCGGCATCAAGTTCCGGCACGCAGCGCGCCGCCGCGTCAGGCCGGCGTTGCTGGAGCACGGGCGGCACCAGCCCAAGATGCCCAGTACGCCGCAGGCGCGATGCGCTCAGCAGCGAGCAGGCCTAGCCCACCCAGGGAGACGGGCAGCATAGCGACTGCGCGCGCATGATCCCAGTCGGCATCCTGGACTTCGCCACGGCCGCCCAAGAGCTCGAGTAGCGTCTGCCAGACCGCGTCATCATGGGCTCGCGCATAGCCTGTGATGAGCGCTGGCGAGACATTGCGCAAAAGGTGCTGGGCGCGTGGCGCGGCACAGAACAACAGTAACAGGCAGGCACACTGGAGGTCGGGCAGTGCTGCCAGTCTTTGCAAGAACTCGGCCTTTGCCCGAAAGTGCTCCTCCGCCTGCCCGGTTGAAATCCTCATGTCCGATCGGGACGCCAAGCGCGACAAACCCACGCTCGGCAGGCGGCTTGTCGCCGCGCCACACTTCCGCTCCGAGATCGCGGATACCCCGTGGTGCTTCGCCTCCAGCCTTGTTCGACGCCGTCAGCCTGGCGGACATGGTGCACGCTCCCCGCGTCGTCCTACCACAGTAGTGTGCTCTCACGCGCGTACAGCATTCGAACGAAAGGCAGCACAGACCGCGCCACTTGCTGAAGCTTGCTGAGCACGGCCGCGCGACGGATGGAGTCACAAGCACTGCGTCCAGCAAGAGACACGTCAAGAGACACAACTGTGGCGGCGGGATCTAATTCGACTGCTGCCCCCAGCATGCCGGCAAGCAGTCTGTACATGCCCGCGTTTGCAATGCAAACTGGTAAGGGCGTGTGGCGGCATCGAAAACGGCAGCATAGACCCGCGCCAACACCCGGGCGTGAGGCGGGACATGGCGAGGGCCTCGGCTGCCTTGTCCGTGGACACCCGTGCTAGGCGGCTGACGGCTCCGGTCAAGAGGTCGAGGGCAACATCGTCATCAAGGAGGAGCTTGTACATCTCAAACGTGGCGCCGGACAGGCCTGCAACACTCCCGCGCTTGGAGCAGAGCAGGGCTTCCGCGACCTGGCAAACACTCAGGGCGACGGCTTCGTCCGGACTATGCAAAAGCACCTCGTTGGGGACATTTCGCAATCTTGCCGTTCGGCGGCTTAGCCGGTGGAGCTCAGCCCAGCTTCCCAGCCGAAAGAGCTCGAGTCGATGCAGCAGCTTTTTTTTTTTTTCCCCTCGCACCTTTTTCCACTGGCCTGTACATCGCTCTTGTTCGCCAAGAAGCGAATGAGGCCAGCCGCTCACCTGGGCGGGAGGCGGCTGGCCGGCACCGGGTGCTCCCAGCGGTTGTCGGCCAGGAGCTCATGAGGCTCCGGCGCAGGACACTCGCCGTTGCCCTCGCCTGCGAGCGGGAGCT